CCCTTCCCCCCCATTTCTCTTCACCTCGTGTAGTTCTAACAAACGATGTGAGAAATGGCGGGGAAACGTATGGTTTAAATAAGCCTAAATATTGGGGGCAGGGCTTAATTTCACCTCATGCCTAGAAATCATGCTGGGCCTTCCTATTGGTGTATTGTTGGAGAAACACAGTAGAATCATCTTGATATTTGGAACACTCATTGTTTCTAGCTTTTGTTGAATGACGTGCCTCTTATCCTGCCATTTTAGTTCCCAGAACTGCTGTTTGAAGAAGAGACTGAGCAATGTGCCGATCTATGCCTCCGACTCCTGCGCCACTGCAGCAGTAGCATTAGCACGATACGGTCCCATGCCAGTGCCTCTCTGTATCTCCTCATGAGGCAAAACTTTGAGATTGGAAATGTGAGTACATTATTTCTGAAAGCGCACAGATTATCTACATCAGCAGTCCCCAACCTTGGCAGCTTGGCGGCTCAGCCCGGGTGGGGGGGGGAGAGGAGAACTGGGCTGCACAAATGGTGGGCCGGCGTGCATGCGTACAGCTCAACATGCACAAGTTGCGCTGTGGGTGCATGTGAATGCACACTGGCCTGTCACTCATGCAAGTCAAACTGCGTGCGTGCATCTGCCCTCCACTCATGCGGCCTGGTTCCAAATAGCCCAGGCCCAGTAGTGAGCTGAGGCCTGGGGGTTGGGGACCCCAATCTAAATTGTGGGGTGTCTGGAATTATGGAAGGAGGGACATCTCCTCTAAAATGAGAATTTCAGTAGCCTTGTGCTGACTAAAAGACTTGTATTAGACTTGATGGATATCAAGTAAAATCTCTTGCCTTCTCTGTCACAGTGCCTCCTCTCTGGAATAGCATCCCCCTATCTATAGATTTGTATAGCTCCCACCCTGATGATATTCCAAATCTCCACTATTCTCCCCATCTATGGAATAGGGAGGTTGTGAAGCCATGTTGGTATTTGAAGTTTTTTGCCTGAGATGTATAGTTTTTTTAGTCTTCTGGATGTACATAATCAGTTTCCCTGTCTTATTGCTTCTTTCTTTTAACAATATAAACATCTGGAGTCGGATGGCTTCAAAATCATATAACTAAATCAATACATAAATATTATTCTTATCTCTTTCTTAAAGCAAGAACAAGTAAACTTTTGGTACTTAGGAAGTCATGTAGGCTGGGAGGGGATGGACAATTATATTTCTTTTTCACCAGTGGGGATATAGCTAACTTCTTTTTCTTCTACTTTGTTCACTTGGTTTAACATATCCATCTTAATTTTGTGCTGAATAACTTTAGGTAAAAATGTGTTACTTTCATTTGATGCTCTATCACCCACATTTAATAGTTCGGTCTTGGAGAACCTCAGGTACTAGGAGAAAGAGTGGTGGGCAGTGCTGAGATTCAAATTTTTTTTACTACCGGTTCTGTGGGCGTGGCTTGGTGGGCATGGCAGGGGAAGGATACTGTAAAATCTCCATTCCCTTCCCACTCCTGGGGGAGGGTTACTGCAAAATCCCCATTCCCCCCCCACCCCACTAACCTGCTTCCCAGCTCCCTTCTCCTGTGCAGAGCGACAAAAGAAGACCCAGCCGATCAGCTGGGACTTGGGAGGCAGAGAATAGATGGGGGCGGAGTCAGTCAGAGGTGGTGTTTGCCGGTTCTCCGAACGACTCAAAATTTCCGCTACCAGAACTGGTCAGAACCTACTGATTACCACCTCTGATGTTGGGGGAGTATGGTTTAGATGCCTCTCACAAGATTATTTTCTGCTTTTGGGTTTATGAAATTTATAAAGCTTTTCTAATAAGAAACTTACTAACAGATTAATGACTTAGGGGTAATTTGTCTGTTTCAGAACTTTGCTAGAGTGAAAATGCAGGTGACAATGTCACTCTCGTCTCTAGTGGGAACCTCTCAAAATTTTAATGAAGAGTTTCTGAGACGTTCTCTGAAGACCATTTTGACTTATGCTGAAGAGGATCTGGAATTAAAGGAGACAACCTTCCCTGACCAGGTTTGAAAAAATTATCAGCGTGGAAAAGTGCAAGTAATCTTTGCTTAATGACCATTCAATGTTATGACGGACTCCCCCCCAAATTACTTAATGCCATCCTCAAAGTTATGTGTGCTACACAGACCTATCCCTGAGGTCACCTGTGGCACTTGGGATCCAGCTTGCATTTATGATCAATTGCAGCATCCTGTAGTCATAGGACAGCTATTTGGGATGTGTCTTTCTGGTTTTCAGTCAAAATACGCCCGTTAGGGAGAATGGATTTACTTAACGATCATGTGGTTCACTTAATGACCACAAGAGTCATTTAACAAACATGTTGACGCAGTTTATGACCATAGTAAAATCAGCCATAAAATTGAGCCATTAACGATCACAACACCTTAAAACCAAAATATCAGAATAATGGTGATTATTCATTTCATTTATTAAATTTATATGCCACCCATCTTACTCTTGAGGTGACTTTGGGTGACTATTATTGAGAACTACCTTTAAGTGTATTTAATTCCTTAGAGATGTCTTGTATCAATATTTAAGAGCTTGGTGCTTTGACAAAATTGTAAGTAAAGAACCCTGAAACTACTTCATAAAGCAACAGGATTCCCTTGCTTTAAACCACAATGTAGCTCAGTCCAATAACAGTTCTACAGGTCCTCTGATACTTACAACACTTAGTAGTAATTTCTGTGCATGTGCAGGAATTTCTTACAACTTTTGCAATTGCTGGGCTATGGGAAGTGATGCAAAGCAGCTTATTAATGGTAATCAGATTGTCTGTTTGCTTTGATAGGGTAAACGCAACATGAAGCAGCTTGTTCAGGCAAATCAAAGCTGCCATTCATAGACTGAAAATCCTCAATTTTCAGTCTATGTGCTTTTAGATTTAGTGAAAAAAACAAAAAAAATTTTTTTAGCATAACAAGTGTTCATTCTCAGAAGATCTAATCGATGCAGAATCTTAGAAGAGTTACTGATGCAAAAATGTGAAGTCAATATTTAGTCATAGAAAATGTAAAGTAACATTTCTGGAAGTCAGCACAGAAAGTTGAAGTTAAAATTAAATGGGTGTATTGACTCAGGTTGTGGTTTGGATATAAACATCACTTTCAGAATTGGTTGAAATTCAAATTCACTTTTCAATTCAGATTGTAAATGTCTTTTGCAAAATTTTGACTTTCTCCCCCCAGCTTTAGTAGTTTATATGGGGCAGGGGAAATAATGATTTGGGGCTCAGTAGAAACCTGATATCTGATACAATGAATGACAATACAAAATTTGAATAAGACAAGTAATTCTAAACCAGACTAAACTAATGATGAATCTTTTTGGTTCTGTTAAAGTTTGCTATCAGGCTTTGAGCAATGAGTGAATGATATATCAACAGATTAATATATATAAAGAAGTATGATTTCATTTCTTTCGTCTTTCAAATTTTCAGGTACAGGATCTTGTGTTCAATCTCCATATGATCCTCTCGGATACAGTTAAAATGAAGGAACACCAGGAAGATCCAGAAATGCTAATTGACTTGATGTACAGGTAGGATTAAGGGAGTTCGCCTCTCTCTCAGAAAAATCGCAGGCAAAGAAATACACATTAACATGAATCTTCTGGCTTTTCCAAAACTAGGATTGCAAAAGGATATCAGAATTCCCCAGATCTTCGACTAACCTGGCTGCAGAACATGGCTGGAAAACACTCCGCTAGAAATAACCACGCCGAATCGGCCCAGTGTTTGGTTCACTCTGCAGCTTTGGTGGCTGAATATCTAAGCATGCTGGAGGACCGGAAATATCTCCCTGTGGGATGTGTTACATTTCAGGTATTTTGTTTTTTTTTTAAATTTCTCAGATTACAAAACTGGATTGTACAGGGCAGTCCTCGACTTACAGCAGTTCCTTTAGTGATCATTCGAAGTTCCAATGGCACTGCACAAAGTGACTTATATGACCATTTTTCACACTTATGACCATTGCAGTTTCCCCATGTACACGTGACCAAAATTCAAACACTTTGGCAATTGACTCATATTTGTGACAGTTGCAGTGTCCCAGGTCATGTGATCACTTTTTGTGACCTTCTGACAAAGTTGACGGGGAAGCAGATTCACTTAACAGCCATGTTGTTAACTTAACAATTGTGGCAAGAAAGGTGGTAAAATGGTGGCAAAACTCATTTAGCAACAGTCTTGCTTTAGCAACAGTGAGTTTGGGCTCAATTGCGGTTGTAAGTCAAAGACTACCTGTATTCCTACCTTAGCTTCAGGAAGTAACAAGACTTGCCCCTTGGGAAATCTGTTTGATTTAAATCCAGTGATCTCTCAGTGACTACTGACTCTCCCATAATGCTTCACTTTAAGAACATTCTCTTGATATTCCTGGTAGGAAAGCTACTTGTATATTTCTCCATTTGCAGGGGTCTTCCCAGTGGAATGTATATTATGCACACGGCGTATATTAGAACTACACCTCCCAAAATGTCTTATCTTGATCAAGAACTGTTAAAAGTTGTGATTCTCATCTTTCCAGTGGGCGTTAGGTTGGGGAAGGTTCATCTTAAGCAAACTGTGTGGCTTGGCTCTTTTACTGACTATTTTGACAAAATTCAAAGAACATCCAATACAGAAAGATAAACTGTTGGAATTGTAGCTGTCCTACCAGCAATGCAAAATACCAGGAAATGCTGGTAGTATATTAGATGAAGCCCACAGAATGATTGCATCAGTCCCAATGGAACTTACAGCAAGTAGGAGAAAGTTCAGAGATTCAACGTTTGAGTAAAGTTACGTAAGAATTATCACAAATAGTGTGTTATCACAATCTGTATATATTTAACTGTACGCCCTCCATGAATGAATGTTCACTACATTAATCTAAGCCAGTTGCTTTACAACAGAGAATGGTAACTTTCAGGCATAATCTGGACATCCCCATAATAGCTTTTCTTAATGTTCACTGTCTATGGAGATTCTCTCTTGATAAACCAGAAAAGGGAATATGGCTTTTATTACCAGAATATAATTATACTGGAGTACAATTGCACGTCAAAGAAAAGATTTAGTGTTTTGGTCAGGAGATTTGCATATTGACATTAATGAAAGTATTTGCTTTATTATTTCCTTAGAACATTTCTTCAAATGTTCTAGAAGAATCTGCAGTTTCTGACGATGTGGTCTCTCCAGATGAAGAAGGGATATGTTCTGGAAAGTATTTTACCGAAGCGGGTCTGGTTGGACTGCTAGAGCAAGCCGCAGCCTGTTTTTCCATGGTAGAAGAATTTCATACTTTCTGTATTTTCTCTGGTACTTCCTTATAGCTGCATAGAATAGATCAGAATTCTCCAAAGTTTCTGGCTTTGCGGACTGGCGGGGTGGAAGAGAAGGGATGGTTCCACACAAGTGGCTGGCAAATGTGCATGCATGCAGCTCCATTTGCACAAGAAGAGTACATGCATGCATGCTGCTCACACAAATGGAACACATGATTGCCCAATGCTCATGCAAATGAGGATGTGCATGTGTGTGTGTGTGTGCTCTTGCCAGCCATTTCCAGTGATCTGTTACAGTCCCCTCATCACCCACTAGTGGACCATGGCTCACAGGTTGGGGATTCCTGGTACAGATGATATGTGATGTAAATATTTGAAAGCACTGAGCACTCAAGAGGTGAACATGAAACATCTCAACCAGTGGGATTACATTTCAGTTGCTTAACTGAGCTGAAATGGAATAGGAGTGGAAGGAATATTGACTGGATTATATATATGGATAAGATGACATTTTTTGTGCTATTGGGAGAATAACCAAAGTTAGTTTTCAAACACTTTTAGTTAGCCAAGATGCAACTGTTATATTTGCTCAAAATTTGCTATTAAGCCTTTTAGTTCAGCAACGGGATTCCTTTGAAATCTTGTTTAGATTGAAAGTGAAAGAAATTTGAAGACAAGGAGAGCAGTTACATTTTGTTTATGCAAATAATGGGGCCATTTTTTTCAACCCTCTGAAAGGCAGTGGAAAGAGGGAAATGGCTGATGGATAGATAGCTAATGCCTTTTCATGGAATGTACAAAAAGGAGCACTCTGAATTATTCTGTGCTCTCTAGATTACATTCTCTTATAATAATGAAAGCATTGCAAACAAGCTTTTCAGTTTCTTTGTCATAATGAAGCATTTTTATCATGTGCTGCACTTAGGATGTTTGTTTTCTTGGTGAAGCAGTAGATCTATCTGACATGCAGTCTTTTGTAGGCTGGTATGTATGAAGCGGTCAACGAGGTTTACAAAATCCTTATTCCAATTCATGAAGCTAACAGAGATGCCAAGAAACTGGCCACAATTCATGGTAAACTCCAGGATGCATTCAGCAAGATAGTTCATCAGGTAATGCCTATGGGATCTATGGCAAGAAAGTGGCAAAATATATCAGCCTGATTTTCTATTAGACCAATGCACTTTGTCAGAACAGAACAATACAGGAGATGTCCATGGGTTGTATTACAAAGTGTGCAATCAGCTTGGGGGACAAAACAATGGCTAAATAATTATTCTATTTTTTTTAGAGCCACCTACTTAAGTCAGGTGGCAATTATTGTATCCATTGGTACATTCTATTCTGTGCCTATTGTACAAACAGAAAGCTGGCTCCACAAAACATGAAAGAATTGAGTACAATTATTATGTGGGTCATTTTCCCCATTAGATTTTAGTCCTTTATTTATTTATCCAGTTTATATAACCATCTATCCAAGAAACTATTTATCCAAACTGTGTCCTGTGTTGTTCAGATGGTGGGAACATAGATGGCTGTATTTTTGGATGTAGAGAACAGGATGGCATCCTACAGCAACAGCTAGTAAGCCTTTTATGGCATGGCCAAAGCAAAGAGAAATTTGCATCATAATTTTAGCTAACTATGATAAAACCCGGTTGTAAATTGAAAATAAAACTACACTATTTCTACCATCTTTCAAACATGATTTTCAGCCATATCACATATAGGATGTGTAGAACTTACTAACCATTAAATCTGTTCTAGAAGCTATTATATCAACATAAATGATCTTGGTGTCTCTACTATTGAGAATGTTCCATTGCAAATAATTTTCCCTTTTCAAAAGGTTAGAGGGTAAACACTGATTCCGGGCCCTTTCCCTGCCTCAGCACACCCAGATCCACTTACCTTTGTGTTATCCTGAAGTTCCTGATTGCCAAGGCCCCCAGTTCCATCTTGCAAGTCAGCCCCATTCTCACAATGATACGAAAAGCTCCTTCTGAAGAGGCTTCTGAATGATCATTTGCACTTGTGGTTTGGCCAGATACAATGTCTGTTTGAGTCTTCCAGAAGGCTGGCATTCATTGGGGTTTTTCCCTCCCCTAATGCTGCTAGCAAAGGCCAGCCTTCTTAGCCTTTCAGAAGGCTGTTGTTGATTGGTATTCGCCACTCCCCAGACAGTAGTAGACGTCACCCTTCTGAACGGCTCAGAAGGCTGCATTTAGTAGCTACTTTGCCAGATTCGAGGTCTGTCCTTCTCTTCCTTGCCAGGAGAAGAGGGGAAATCCCTCAGTGCACTGGGGAAACAGACCTCAGATCCTCCATCCCCTCTGCTTGCAATCTTCCCTGCTGGCTTCTTCTGACTTCACCATTCACTTTATGGGGAAGCCAGCAGAGAAGATTGCAAATGGCGACCACTTGACAACAGATCATAAATGCGAACAGGTTGCTAAGCACCCAAAATGCAGTCATGGAGCCACAGGGGAGATGAGGGCTTTACCTCATTTACGATGACTTGGAGGCACTTTACAGGCTGTAAAGCATTGGTTCTCAGGCTGTCGTAAATACGAATGGTTGTAAATACGAATGGCCGTAAAATGATCAGTCATAAGTCAAGGACTACCTGTACCAGATTTGCACAACAAGCACTGCATAAAAAGTATTGCACAAAGTTTGAATTTCTGCAGTCTGACTCTCAGGCTGAAATGATGAATATGTTGCAGTGGTAAGAAAGGTTTTCTATTCTCATTTGATTCTCAGACCTTTATAATCCAAAAAAAGAACAATTGGACACACAAACACACTGTGTATATGTATGGGCCAGGAGTTTGTGTATACTTGCCAATGCAATGGAGCCCAGGGATGTAATCCCTGTACTCCTGTCATCAAATCTTTTAAACCCATTTATGTTGGATATTTTCTTTGTCACGTTCTCCTTCCTTCGAACTTCACAATGAAGCAAAAAACAGATAGTTAGAACAAACATCTATATAGGAGGCAGAATGGATGGTCACATCCTCTGCAGAGTTAGCCTTCATGCATTCAGCAAAAATGTCTTATTCCCATAGGTATTTCTTTCCAGGTGATGTTTCCTCTGGTGAAATAGAAAAAAAACCCCTGCTAATGTGGCCCCTATTAATGTGGCCCCTAAAAATCATTAAACCATTGTAGATGTATACTGATTTATTGTTGATGGTATGTCAAGAAAGTTCTGCATTTGTTTCTGTTACATACTTTTTTTTTTTTACTTTTTATTATACAGAGTACTGGCTGGGAGGTAGGTATTGTTTTAGCTAGTAAAAAAGACTAATAGATTGGTTTGATGCCTCCTGCCAATGCTTTGCCCGCATATGCTAGTTGTGGGTATCTGTTGCTGTCTGCTATTGATTGACCTGAATTAATTAACCAAAAAGTATTAGTAAAACTGTTGTGGTCATTTTAGACAATTTAGGTTGTGCATGAATTATGACACTAATGAGGTTCTTTGGGGAATGAACCATTTTTACCATTGTGAGTTTGTTTGTTTTTTAATTTTATTTCTCATCTATATTGACTTAGAATATCATTTCTTCCTACCATGTTCTTACCCCCAACACAGGGGTCGATTTAAGTTCTAACGTTCAAGGAGTTTGAATATAGAAATGCATAAGTTTATTCATATCATAACACATAACAAGTATTTATTTATGAATTGTATATACTTGTCTCTTGTACAAAACTGAAACGAAAACCAAATTAATTCAGATTAACACTTAGCTCCCAAATACCCTGTTAGAGCACGGGTTTCAAGTACCCATTGAGTAAATATATTTGCTTTGATGTATAATTTCAATGTCTCTAGTACTTTTCAAATTTACTTTACATTATGATCCAATACAAAAATTGGTAACCTGTAAAAGTAGCTGTGACTTTAGCAACCACAAATCTAAATATAACCTACCAACTTTATCTCATTAGTGTAATGTTATTCAGTCTTGTTTTTCTGTGAAAGGCCACAGTCAAATAATTAAGATAGGTGCTTAATAAATTAATACAGTCGTTCATTTAGGTCAAAATGGGGAAGTTATGGTTAATAGTTTCAAACTAATCAGAATATTTGCTCACACAAAGGGCAAGCCAAATAACAGCAACACACTTTTGAATTTTGTAATTTGAAATCCTGATCTGGTACAAACTTTCTTACTTTTAGGTAGAAGTGTGATTTAATGGTAGAAATGAAAAATTAAATAAGTTTAAATAATCCAAATCAATAGATTTCATATCAATTTTATTTCTCTTTTATCATCAGTGGTTTTTTTTTGGGTGAAGCCCAAAACTATTCCTGATACTGCCTTAAATTTAGATCAAATCAGTGGGTTGTTACTTTACCACTCCGTTAAGAGAATAAAACAAGCTTCCCCATTGTTTTGCCTCACTGCATGTTCTATTGATCATTCTTTGGAATTCTAAATGCTGAAGTCTGGTATATCTGATAGATAGCTGTGAGGGGTGGCTAGTTTAAAAGAACAACCAAGATTGTCAGATTCATTTGTACAACAGATTTTTTTTTGTACAGATAGTCCTCAACTTACAACAGTTCATTTAGTGACTGTTCAAAGTCACAACGGCACTGAGAAAAGGGACTTACGATCATTTTTCACAATTACAACCATTGCAGCATCTCCATTGTCACGTGATCAAAATCCAGATGCTTGGCAACTGGTTCGTATTGACGATGGTTGCAGTAACCCAAAGTCATGCAATCACCTTTTGTGACCTTCTGACAAGCAAACTCAATGAGGAAGCCAGATTACTTCACTACCATGATACTAACTTAACAAATGCAGTGATTCACTTAACAACTGTTGTAGGAAAGGTCATAAAATGGGGCAAAATTCACTCAACTGTCTCACTTAGCATCAGAAATGTTGGGCTCAATTGTGGTCGTAAGTCGAGGACTACCTGTATTTCTTAGGTTTCAGGGGCATCCATGCATGTATACACTTCAAATAGAACACAAAGAATTCAGCAGGTGTAACTTTTCCACATGCATCTTTCAGCCAGAAAAGGTGGAAACCTTCAGAAAGCTACACACTTTTTTCATTAGTCAGGATTAAGAATTTTGCAGCTTTAAGTGCAACGTGTCCATTTGATTGCACCATATACTAGTGTTTCTCAACTTGGACCCCTTTAAGATGTGTTAACTTCAACTCCCAGAATCCCTAAGCTAACAATGCTGGCTGGAGAATTCTGGGAGTTGAAGTCCACCCATCTTGAAGTGACCCAGGTTGAGAAACACTGCCTTACACTACATCCATGAAAGTGATATGCAAATTGAACTAATTAAATTACGAGCTAAGTAAAAATATAATATTTTTAAAAAAATTCTTTTAATTCTTTCGTTTTTTTGGAAAGCCCTTCCTTTTGGTGGAGGAGTTGTCCTCTGCTCTTTGGTATTTTTCCTCTTTAATTCCTGATTGTGTCATGTTCCCATGGAATCCACTGCAGTTAAGCATGTAGGTCCTGAATTAATTTCAGTGGAAACTCATTGCATGTGGCCTTCTTATAATTGTGTGGAATATGTGCTAACAAAACGTTGATCGTCCTCTGAAAATAATGCCAGCATATCATATCCAAATACTTACTGTTCATGTGGAGAAGTTTTAGAAGAGATTTTTAAAAATCTGCACCTTGGTTTGGTGTTACTATATTAGTTCCAACCCCTACACCAATATAATGTACTGTGAAAATAATGTTTTCTGCTTTTTCCTGGCTCATGCTGCTTTATTTTGATCATTCCCACTGCAGAACTGGGATCTTAAGAACTTTTGCTTAGAAAGACACTTGGCAAATAGAGCCAAAGATTCTCAGAGCACATGAGGTCAGACTTCCTGGGCCCATGGCCATTCAGCTTCAAGAAGACCCTCATGGATTCAGATTTTGTTTTGAAACCCAACGTGCAACTTTGCAGCACTTGAAAGCTTACTCACGGAAGAAAATCCAAGTATGGCCACACACCGTCTATGTAAGCCTACTATAGGTAGTCCTCGACTTACGATCATAATTGAGCCCTAAGTTTCCATTGCTAAGTGAGGTAGTTGTTAGTGATTTTACCATCTTTTGTGCCCCACTTGTTAAGCAAATCACTGCAGTTGTTAAGTGAACCATGCAGTCATTAAGTGAATCTGGCTTCCTTTATTGACTGTTGGAAGCCGGTTGGGAAGGTTACACAGATGGTGAGCAAATGACGCCAGGACAATAAACACATGCCAGTTGGAATTTTGGTCACATGACCATGGGGATGATGCAATGGTCATAGGTGTAGAAACCACTCATAAGTCACATTTTTCAGTGCCGTTTTAACCTTAAATGAATGGTTGTAAGTCGAGGACCTCCTATAATTACAAATCTGGAGCTTGATCAGACTTTAGGACAATTTAGCAAGAAATGGTAAATAGTCTCCATTTATCATTTCCACTACAAACCCTGGCTACTTTGGGGAAGGTAAGGCCTAAAAGCCTATTCAGTCTTTCAGTTTTCTCCCTTTTGACATCACAAGAAATCAAAAGCATCTGCTGCCCCTAGCAATGTCTGTCCCTAGGAGTCGGGGTGGATTCAAAAATCCCAGCAACCGCATTGCTGCTCAGTTGCTGGGTGGGCGTGGCCTACCAGAACTTCAGGAAGGCCGTTTTTTGCTTTCCCAAGGGACCGGAGGCTTCCCTCTGGCCTCTAAGAGGGCAAAAACGGTCTCCCCCAAGCTCTGGAGGCTCTCTGGAAGCCAGAAACAGGCCTGTTTCCA